TTTAAATTAAGATAAAACTATTTCATATTATTTTCTTCCATATTCTTTCCTAATGTTAGTATGTTTGCAGCTCTCTCCTCAGGCCACCCTCAATGGCTCTGCCCTTTTCTTCTACACTGGCTGCACATGGAGGTTTAATTGCTAGATGGTAGGAAAGGAACCAGAACAAGAATCAAGAGCCAAAACAGAATGATGACTGAAGACATATTCATATCTCAAAACAATATGAATAATATTTTCAATAAGACAAATTCACTTTCTCTTTACACTTCTAACAGGCTAAGATTCTGCAAACAAGAATGCCAAGACAAAGAAAAGTCTCCTGTTCCACATATCATAAATTCACACACACAAATGACTAGTATACTGGGCTCAAATTTTATTTTAGTCTGATAGCTAATATTAGGTGCACCAGCAGCCTCAGAGGGCACCTAAGCATCATGTATCAGGAAGCCACTGGTCAGTGTTCCCAGCTGCTTCAATCCCCAACAGAAAAGAAGCAGCACAAAATAAAACTGATGGGAGAGTAACTGAAGCTCTTTTTTGTTATTAATGACTCAGCAACAAGGAAAGAAATTTGCAAAGGTTGTTTAAGAATGACAGTGTTACACCTGATGATACACCTTCTGAGAATTGTAAAAGGAATAAGCAGACATACGGTTTCTAAAGGAAAATTAAATACAAGGTAGCTGGTTTGGTTTGTTTCTTTCAAAATTAATAAGCTTCTGGCTGTGAATCAAGAATCTAGCTGCAGCCCAGGACAGACATAGCCATGATAAAGAGCATATCACAAATACTATTTTTAACAAAACTAGTTCACTTGTTTGGTTTTTTTCCCCCAACACATTACACACTAAGAGCTCATATAATAGCTTCCTCATACATCCAAAGAAAGCATGGATATGCATACCTGTCTTTGTTTTATACACAACATACCAAATAAAGCAATCACATAAATTAATAAACAAATTTAAATAGAAAAAAAAATTGTATCATCTCAGTGGCTGGTCATAAGGCACTTTCTTTGGCTAGATTCCCATGAAACAGGACTAGAAACTACCAACAGCAAAAATAAAGTTATTTGTAGAAACATTGTGAAAATGTTTTTTAATATTAATTCAATGTACATAATCCACAAAATGATATGTAGATAGAATTTCCTGCTCACAGACCTGTTAATGGCTTAAATTTTTTGAGCAGAAGACGTCACTATGATGAATTTGCTGCTTACTGTTTAATATGAGACGACTGCAGTAGTTCAGCCCCACAGAATTAGGTTCCATAATATAGCTGAATTTTTACATATTCAGGCTTTCATCTGATGTCTATTTATCGCATTTCTACTCCTTGTTGCAGAGAGGAGTTTGAAAATATGACCTATATATATCTGACCCTCCAAAATCAGAAAGCAAATAAACTATAAAATTTTCAAAGTGTGAGGAGATCAGCTTTGCTTTGTTTCATGGGAAACGTGAAAGAGGGATTGGGAAACAAAAAACTCAGCATTTTATTTTTCTCCTTTCAATTTTTAAATGTCTTAACTTTACAAAAATAGCTTAAAAAAAAAAAAGTGATGGAGACTGCTATGCCCACTAACTACTTAAAATAGCTAGGCTAGGATTTCTAGACCTGCACTGTTTCCTGCTGGTTTGAAAAGTGGCAAAACAGATTCAGTGTAAATACTTACATAATGTAGCACTGAACTACATTAGACATTAATCTCTTACAATCACTCTCCACTAGTGGAATAACACCTGCCATAAAACCCTGGATACATCACACTTCAATGGACAATACAACGGTAGTTAGTGTATCTAAAATTCCCATTAACAAAAAGGTAACACTATGACCATTAAAAAGAAAACTATTTTCATTCAAACAGTGGATCACTGTCTTCACAGATACATCTATTGACTGTAAGTGTGATTATTTGCTCCAGTCACAATCCTAAAAGACAAAGTTCAACATCTGGTAGATCAGGACTTAACAATTTATTCTATGAATTCCCTATTTTCTTCTGACATGCCAAAAATTAGTTTAAATCTGCCTTACGACTCAATCCTCTTTTGCAGTTGTAAACATGGAAACAACTGACGGTTAGAGAGACAACAGTATACATCACATTCATTAGCTGGCATGAAACATCAGACACACCAAAAAGTTCTTTCTTAAAGAAATAACAGAACAGTCTCTATTCACTGAAAATCATTTGGAAAAAAAAAAAATGTTAAACACTAAAAAGGTCAGTTTTGCAATCAGCAAAACACAAACACTGTTAAATAGGTATTAGAAACAATATTCATTCTACATTACAGATGTTTACCTTTGCAACTCCAGCCCTATGAGCACCTTGTGATTCCATGTAGGCTAAGTATTTGTTGAAGTCCTTGAATTCATCCATTGAAGGCCTGAAAGTCATGATTTTGCAGCTTGGGTTTGGAGGACTATCTGAGATGACACTAGCCATTGTGGTTCACTTTCAATCCAGCTTTAAAAAAAAAAAAAAAATAAATTGCAGTGAAGAGAATGATCTTGAAAATTAATTCTGAGATTTGACATACATGTGCTCAAAAGGAGAAAAGCTTCCGAAATCCTGTCATTCTGTAGTACAAAAGGCAGAAAACAAATGCTTACTTTTTCTCCTTGCTCCTTTAAAAATACTCAGCACGAACACTGAAATGAGTGACATTTATACAGTCCAGTCCATACCTCTGTTTGTACGGCAGATCTTCTCAAGTTAACTTTTGGCATCATAGTAGCATCTTCCTGTATCAATCCACTTGTATGTTGCTGCATTTCTCTATCTGGAGATTTACATTTACACAGGCAAATTCCAGAGTAACACAGTTACACAATTGAAAAAAATAAAACTACTTCCATTCGGTATATGGAGAAAACTGATTACTCTTATTCCACTCACACTGCAAACTCAAAGAAAGAGCACCTGGATTTCCTAACTCCCACCTCCACAGCTTAACAACAGGACGGTATTATCTCTCATTCTCTGAAACCTCCTCAACAGAAACAAGTGATAAACATGAAGACAACGGGTGTTTCCTCTTATTTCCATTCCTACACTGAGGACGACTAAAACCAAAACTGTATTTCTATTTAAAACCAAGATACATTTTTCATTAAAGGACTGATCTTTAGGCAACTGACAGATGTATATTAGCTTGAGCAGGTGTTGTAGTTTCCAACTATACATCACCATCACCATCAATGTGCATCTATTGTTCACAAAATTCTTCCTTAATAGTAAAAATAAAAGTCATCCCAGAATACAATTAACTTAACTGTGACTAGCTTTTTGGTAATTCAGCTTTCCTGAGCATGTAATTAATGCATTCCTCATTTTCTCCATCTGCAAAATGAATGCAACCATATTTCTTATGTCACACAGTGTCACTGCAAGTCTTGCTTGTATGTTTGTGTATTAGCCACTAATTTCATTAGCATTTAGCTTGCTGTGAATCACTGCACAGAAAATCTGCATGTGGAAGATTGCTTTTCACATTTCACTGTCCTACTGGAATTCTAACACTCAGCCTGCTTTCTGTGTCCTTACATTTCCTCTCATTTTGCCTCACCACTTTACTCAGCACTTAATTTCTTTTTCTATGCTCACACGTTCACTAATGTCTTATTCCCCTCCCTTACACTATCTTCCATCCCTGTTAGAATTGAAATTAACTAGATTTCTGCAACTCTCCCAATCTGAAAGTCAATACCACTCAAATTTGGGGATATTTTTGCATTTAAAATATCAAGTCCATATAGGCAAACACACCTCATAATGTACAAGTGTACTAACTTCCCTTAGCAGTAAACAGCTGGTTGGTTTATAATACACCATTCATTAATTCCCACCCATTAAAGTTCCACATATAATCTTGCTAGCATGAACAGTCCCAGGAAAATCAGACTTCGATTTATGACCAAAGGGGAAGTTACCACAGAATCACAGAATCTTAGGGGTTGGAAGGGATCCTGAAAGACCATCCAGTCCACCCCCCCTGCCAGAGCAGCATCACTGAGAGGACATCGCATAGGAACACATCCAGGCAGGTTTTGAATGTCTCCAGCAAAGGAGACTCTACAACCTCTCTGGGCAGCCTGTACCAGTGCTCTGTCACTCTCACAATAAAGAAGTATTTTCTGATGTTTATGTGGAACGTCCTATGCTCCAGTTTGCACCCGTTGCCCCTTGTCCTATCACTGAATATCACTGAAAAAAGCCTGGCTCCATCCTCCAGACACTTGCCCTTAATGTATTTGTAAACATTGATGAGGTCGCCCCTCAGTCTCCTTTTCTCCAAGCTAAAGAGACCCAGCTCCCTCAGCCTTTCCTCAGTAGGGAGATGTTCCACTGCCTTCATCATCTTTGTGGCTCTGTGCTGGACTCTTTCAAGCAATTCCCTGTCCTTCTTGAACAGTGGGACCCAGAACTGGACACAATATTCCAGATGTGGCCTCACCAAGGCAGAAGAGAGGGGGAGGAGAACCTCTCTTGCCCTCCTAACCACACCCTTTCTAATACACCCCAGGATGCCATTGGCCTTCTTGGCTACAAGGGCACATTGCTGGCTCATGGTCATCCTCCTGTCCACCAGGACCCTCAGGTCCCTTTCTCCTACACTGCTCTGCAGCAGGTCAGCCCCCAAACTGTACTGGTCCATGGGCTTGTTCTTCCCCAGATGCAAGACTCTACACTTGCCCTTGTTGAATTTCATCAAGTTTCTCCCTGTCCAACTCTCCAACCTGTCTAGGTCTCGCTGAATGGCAACACAGCCTTCTGGTGTGTCAGCCACTCCTCCCAGTTTAGTGTCATCAGCAAACTTGCTGAGAGCACACTCTGTTCCCTCATCCAGGTCGTTGATGAAAATATTGAACAGCCCTAGTCCCAGTACCAACCCCTGAGGGACTCCATTAGCCACAGACCTCCAGCTAGACTCTGTCCCATTGACACAAGCACAGTGCTCATGTGTTTTCCTACAAACCTGATATTCTGTCTTCCGTAGTTTTGTAATTAAATTTGTCTAAGGTGAAGGGGTCTAAGTTTGGAAGATAAATTATCTCTTACATTTCTTCTGAGAAGGGGTAAGGAGACAAGAAAATGCCATACCCAAGTGACTCAGCTTTGAGAAAAAACCTGCAGGATTATTTTGACCAGTATCTGACTCAAAGCAAGAAGCACAACAAACTAATTATTGCAAAAATTGGTATGAAAAAAGTTCTTCTCAGACATCTCACCGAAACATATCAGTTTTAATACCTGAGCTGCTTTAAAAACACCAATGTACCAAGCAAACATGTAATTACCAAATGAATTTAATATACCCTAGCACTTAGCCACAAAGGAGAAATTCACTAATTTAAGTAACTGTTAAACTAATAAATGGCTATTAACTCATGCTACAATATACAATCACACATCAGCATGCTTGCCTGGCTACTGGTTTCCTACAACACTGTTTGCAAAACACACTAAAGTAAAGATACTAACTATATTATTATTATTTTACATGTCTGGAATGAAGATAAGGCTCAAGCATATAACCAAACTACACTGTGATGAACCTGAATCTGTATCACAAACAGAATTAGCACCTTTAAACTAATCATGAAGATGTGTACAGCATTGGACAGGCAGAACTTTTGCACAGCTTCACTGAAGTGAAAAGTATAGTCCGATGTAAGAGATAAGAGGCCTTGAGAGGTTCTTTTGCAGATAAGAACTTAACTGCTAAGATGCCAATGCAAATGTACAAAATACAAAGTTATAGTAACAAGGTGTGGGAAAGTGCCAACACAAAGGCAGTATGCCTATTTAGGCAGCACACTACAAAATGTTAAGACAATATAAATACATGAATTTTCAGTTATTTGAAATTTATAATATCAACATAATAATCAGCCATCTTCTGTCTCTCTTGCAAGACAGTACAGCATGTTGACAAGGCTGCCTATGACAATCTAGAAAAGCAGATGGCATTTGGAATGAATGAGAAGACATACTCCACCCAAATTAGCAGACATTGGTACTTTGCATAAGACTTAAAGAAAGCTTTTTACCTAATCAAACAAGCTCAAGCTGTAAGCCTGATCCAATACACTGCAAAGCCTGCCTATCAAGCTCGTCTCCTAGTGACCAAGTAGCTTGCCTACACCTATGCAACATGTCTAGTTGAACAATGCAGAATTTGAGTAAGTGCAAGCATGTAACTCGTCCAAAGTTGCCAGCTAAAGAGCCAATAGCTGGGTTAAAGAATCTCATTCTCTTTTTATAAAGAGAATAGCCATTATCAGATCTAGTCAAAAAAAACCTCAAATCATCAGCCAGGAGTATATTAATGCTAAATTTCTCTTAATACTACAGAAGTGGAAATGTGAGACTAGGGAAGTTTAATCATCAACATCTGTGTCAGTATGTGGCCTGAGAAACCTAATGAACCTAATTCAAAACGTCAAAGTAGGACACTAGAAAACCTCATCTTCTAACAGCAAGACAAAAATCTTATTAATGCTACCAGTATTTACATAATCCAAGATGTAAATGCACTTTAAGAATGACGATGAGAGGGTTAAGTACTTTTTAAACTAATTCTGTAAGGTATAAACTGCATAGCTTTCACAAACATAATAAACTTGATACTTTGTTATCTACATTTACTGGGGGGCGTGGGGGGAGGTCATAAAAGACTACAATAAACTTCTGACTGGCTGCCAAAAAAATTAGAAAAAGAGAGGAAGAAAGAAATTAATAACCTTCTGCATGCTTTGACATTAGTAACTAAGGCCAGATACGGGAAGAGTTAATTACCAAATTAGCCAAAACACACATTTTTCCTTCTTTTCTTGAAAATTTTTACTCACACCAACTACAGGACAACAAGCATTTCAGGAAGAACTCAGGAAGAACTCATTCATCCTGAGGAATTTTTTTTCCAGTAACTAATAATAAGAAAATTAAACTTGTCCAGAAAAAGGCACACACAAAAAGTCAAAGCATTTTGTTGAGACTGATCTGAAAGAAACATTAAAAAAAACTATTTATAACAACAGATGTCAGACAAAGTTTTTTCTCGAAAAAGACAAGACAGTGTTCACATTACACAGTACTAGCCACCATTCCTTACAAATCATTCAGTAAAAAACGTTTTATTGACAAAACTTGAGGAAAAGAACTATTTTTTTCCACAAACCTCCTATTTGCAGAGTCTGCTGGGGAGGGGGGGAAGAAATAGGTAAATAATTTGTACAAGCAGCTCTGCAAGAGATGGAAAAGAAAAGAAGCAGTAGAAAAACAGGTCTTTATCTTCAATAGTCTATACATTTATTTTATTTGCAACAACAAAAGTAAAAACTCCATAAAGTAATCCAGTAATTTATTTTAATCACAGACATGGGTAGATTCACTTACGCATTTTCCTATATAAATTTTTTAAAGCTTTTAGCCTAATTAGC